AATATGGTAAGAAAAAGTTATATTTTAAAGGATGCCATGAATCATAAACACGAGGAGACTCAAAAGAGGTTATCAGAGAAAACAGTTTCCGTGCAGAAGATGACATCAAAAGACAAAGACGCTGCAGCAGCCCCGTCGCCTTTGGGACAGATAAAGCCTCACAGACCCACAGCTGAGACGGAGGGACACGGAAACATGGATCGAGTCAGCAATGACAGCTGGAAGGCAGACAAGGAACTACTTCCCTTAGAGACCAGTGGGAGTCAACTGTGCTGCCTCCTGGATTGTGAAGCAGCAGTGCTCTAGGTTTTAAGCCACCGAGTTTGTGGTACAATGTTACACAGGGCTAGCAAACTAATATATAATCCTCACTTTGTTCTCCTTCCTTATACACTGTTAATAACACAATGCGTGATTATTACTGGAGAAAAAAAAAACCACAATATAAAAGTGCTCTGGGCAAAAAGTTTTCTACTCGTATAAAGTAATCTATTAATATTGAGGTTATGTCATTTTAACTTTTTCCTAAACCCATGAAATACATTTGTATATTTATTTATTTTTTTTAAATATTTATTTATTATGTATACCATATTCTGTCTGTGTGTATGCCTGCAGGCCAGAAGAGGGCACCAGATATCATTACAGATGGTTGTGAGCCACCATGTGGTTGCTGGGAATTGAACTCAGGACCTTTGGAAGAGCAGGCAGTGCTCTTAACCTCTGAGCCATCTCTCCAGCCCACATTTGTATATTTAAAACCCTTAAGCATCACACTACACAGATATTTCTACAACTTTTCCTATTTTTCACTTATTACAAACATCTTTTCTGATGCAGATATACAAAAGCTATCCTGTTTTAATAGTTGTATATCTATTTTGTGGCTCTATCAAATTATAAAACAAATTCTCTGAGAATTTCCTCAACTGCTTCCAACTTTTGCTATTCCAGTGGTCCTGGGCTGTACATTTCGGTTAGTAGGATGCTCTCTGGCGTACACAAAGCCCTGGCTTTGACCCCCTGCACTACATAAACCCAGCACGGTGCTGCAGCCTATGATCCCACCACTTGATAGATGCAAACAGTTCAGGTTCCGAAGAACAGGAGTTCAAGGTCACCCTTGGCTAAGTGAGTCTGAGGCCAGTCTTAGCAGAAGAAGACCCTCTCTCAAGAAACAAATCATAGAAATGGGGGGTTGGGGGGTAAAGAAAAATGCATGCAATATATTCAAAACTTCTTTAAGAAACATTTTCACTCTCAGACTTAGCAGTTAAGAGCAGTTACTGCTCTTCCAGAGAACCTGAATGTTCCAGGTTCCCAGCATGCAAGGCGGCTTACAACCACCTGTAACTTTAGCCCCAAAGGACCTGGTGCCCTCTGCTAGATTCGATGTGCAAGTGCAAACACACACATAATTTAAAAATAAATCTTTTTTAAAAAATAAAAAACTAAGTGCTTCCCCCAAAGATATAGTACAGAGTAAGGGAAATTAATATTTTTCTATAATCTTTCACCCAAACATATAAGTCACATGCCAGCATTACTTCACATCGAGTGAGTTAAGTACCTTCAAGGCACATGAAAATGCCTTTTCTCCAACATTAATAGACTTGGGATCATCATCGTCCAAATCTTCCCACATCCTCACATCACCATCACTTCCACAAGTCACAATGAAACTGTGAAGGACAAACAGCATGAAAATGTCACCCAGTTTCAGGAATACTCTTTATGGAATGCTACTTTTTGTTGTTGTTGGTTTTTTTTGTTTTTTTTTTTTCAAGACAGGGTTTCTCTGTAGCTTTGGAGCCTGTCCTGGAACTAGCTCTTGTAGACCAGGATGGCCTAGAACTCACTTAGCCAAGACAGAGATCCGCCTGCCTCTGCCTCCCGAGTACTGGGATTAAAGGCGTACACCACCACCGCCCGGCTGGAATGCTACTTTTACATATTCTGAAACAAAATCAAGACATTAGTGAATATTTTTCTCATTTTTTTCAGATAAACATCAATAACAGACTGCTAACTTCTCATTCTATAAAATGAAGATAAGTTTAATGTTCTCTACAGTTCTTCCTGGCATAAAATTAATCCTTGTAATAATGAAGAGACTATTTCCACATTGATCCATCATATATATCCCCAGTACTAATCAACATATGACACAAACTATAGCAAATGTCTGTTGAATAAATATATGAGCTCAACTACCCCAAAATAATTATTCAAATAAATAACTAGATGCATCTGTTATAGCTTGTTTTTCAAACTTCTCATCTCCCAAGTGCTTTTGTTTGTTTATTTATTGCGTATGTAGTGTTCTGCCTGCATATATGCCTGCAGGCCAGAAGAGGGCACCAGATCTCAGTACAGATGATTGTGAGCCACCATGTGGTTGCTGGGAATTGAATCCAGGACCTCTGGAAGAGCCGTCAGTGCTCTTAACCACTGAGCCATCTCTCCAGCCCCATTCTTTTTTTTTTTTTTAATGTCCTACCTGGCTACATATAAAACTGCAAATTAGCCAGGCAGTGGTTATGCATGCCTTTATTCCCAGCACTCAGGAGGCAGAGGCAGGTGGATTTCCATGAGTTCAAGGCCAGCCTGGTCTACAAAGCGAGTTCCAGGACAGCTAAAACTACAGAGAGAAACCCTGTCTCAAAAAAACAAAAACAAACAAACAAAAACCAGCAAATTAAATAAAAACAGTATAGGGCAAATGGCCAAAAAAATTATAAATTAAAAAAAGAGGAAGAGGGAGAAAGGGAAGGAAGGAAAGAAAGAGAAGATGAATGTTTAGGAGAAAAGAATGATTAATTCCTAAACAGAAAAATCAGAAGAGGTTCATAAGAAAGTGTTCAGCTGGGGTAATAGCACTGTGTTTATGTGTGTTCGCATGTGTGTGTGTTCATGTGCAGGCACAAGCATATGAAGGCAGATGTTTTCTTCTATAGCTCTTACACACTGAGGCAGGGTCTCTCCTGAACCTGGAATTCATGAATTCAGCTAATATAGCTAGCCTGCTTGCTCTGGGAATCCCCTGCTTCCACCTCCTAATCACTGGTATTGCAGGCCCCCCTGAATTCTGGTTGGTCATCTCCCTATCTCCAAACAAGATTAAAAGCAGAAGGCCTTGCATAGACACCCCGTCTACCTTCGCATATCCACCTCACGAATCTCCACATTACTTTACATTGTAGCACAGATAACTTTTAATTTTTAAGCAAGCAGGGCACCTGGGTCCACTGGCCTTTTGAATATACTCAGAATGCCAACATTACCACTCTACTGCCATGCCCCCAACTCTTTAGACTTCTTGTTTCTTTCTTTTTCATGTGGCTGGAGACTGTATTACCACTAAGCTATATCCCTGGCCTATCTTTATTATTGCTTAATACTCACTTAACCCTCAGGGCTCATTTCAAGACACTCCCTTACGAGACACTTTCTGTCCTTTAACCTACATCGCCTTCCCGCCCATATGCTCATCACTTAGTAGTGCTAAGCATACTTCTAAATATACATTTATTTTGTAATTAATTTGTGCCTGATGCTTATTAATCCCAGAAGACCTTAACTTCAATAAAGGGAACAGTCATGGCTTGTTGTCATTATCTCTAGCCCCCAGAAAAGTAGGCTCACAAATATTTTTTTTAATTTATTTATTTATTAAGGATTTCTGCCTCCTCCCCACCACCACCTCCCATTTCCCTCCCCCTCCCCCGATGAAGTCCCCCTCCCTCATCAGCTCGAAGAGCAATCAGGGTTCCCTGACCTGTGGGAAGCTCACAAATATTTTTTTATGGACCAACAGAGAGGGGTGGCATTGGAAGCCACACAACTTAACAGTACTTGACAGGAATGGCATTCAGAAAGATAAAAGGGAAGAAAAGGGGCTGCAGAGATGGCTCAAGACTATGAGTGCTGACTGCTCTTTCAGAGGACCCGAGTTCGGTTTCCAGCACCGACAGGGCAGCTCAACAACAGAAACGAACAAAAGAAAACAAATATACCTTTTTTTTTTTCCTAAGGAGAAGGGAGAAGGGCTCGCCCTAGTAAAATAGCAGTTTAAGAAAGAAACAGAAGAAAGTCACTTCGAAGTAAGCAAGTTAAAAAGAAAAGGGAAAGAAAGAGAACAAAGAGAAATAACATTACTAAGGCCAAAAGAGGCTACCATTGCCGACGGGATGAGCGATTTGACAAGCAGTATGCAGTGAGCGAGCTCAAAAACTGAACGTGACACCGAATGAAATTGTGGGTGGCGAGAAGACGCTACTCTGGGGAAAGGATTTTTAACTTTCCTGAGATTTAGAACTACCACGACAGTTGAAAGCAAATAACTCTCAGGAAACCGAAGCTTCTGTTTATCCCTGCCTCTCTCCCCCTCCGCCTGGGTCATCTCGGCTGACAGTTACACCTGGCTAGTTCTTTTTTTTTTTTTTTTTTATTTCCGGAGACGCTTACCTTCCAGAATCATCAAAACAGACGTCGGTGTGTCCTTCCGTGTGCCCGTACCTCATGGGCTTCTGTGTGGCCGGCATCTTTCCCTTTGCCTACCTGAACCGTTTTGTAAGAACTGGTATTTTCGTGCGCTCCACGCAGTCCTATTTCCCTCACCCGAGGAGCAACGGCACGTCACGGCGGAGAGTCTGTCACACCACCCGCCGGGGAGGAGACAAGCTTCTCCTCTGCAGGCTCAGGCAACGCGAGCAAGTAGCAGCGGGGTGTATCAGCTTCGGGGCTGAGGAAGGAGCAGTCTGCTGCGAGCAGCTTCCCGCGCTCGGGCGCGCTCGTCCTGTGCGCATGCGCGGCCCGCCGCCCAGCCGCCCAGCGCAGATCCCGACCGAGGTCGCCGGGTGCTGGCGTCAGCGGCGCGCCGCCACAAAGCCAAGAGCGGTGGCTGGGGCGGTGCTGAACCCGGAAGTGGTGGCTGTCCCCGGAGAGCAGGCGGAGATAGAGGCGAGTCCGACGCCAGGCTGACTGAGCGGGGCGGGGACTGTCAGAGAGCATCCGCCTCGCGGGAGCTGCGTGAGGAGCGGGAGTGGCCGGGCCTGCCTTCCGCGCTTGAGTGAGTGCCCAGTGATGGCGATGGTGATGGCGGCAGTTGCTCGGACAGCCCCAGTTAAGCTGCGCCCGGAGAGGTGAGAGGCGGGGAGGGTGGCCGTGAGGGCTGGGATCTGGCGCCCACCCTTCCAGGCTCTCCTCCCAGGCAACCACATTCGGCTCCTCGAACCGATCGAGCTCCCCGGGGCAGGGATAGAAACGGACCTTGTCGAGCCTTATTCTTCGTGCCCTCACTTTGTCATCTCTGTCGTGATGAAGGATGGAGTCGTTCTTGTTTCTTGTAGCTCTAGCTAAATAATGCTTAAGAGAGCTAACTCGGATTTCCTATTTAGTTCCCACTCAAAGTTTACCACCGTGCATTTAGATCTGAAAGAGAGTTCTCATTTATATTGTTGGACGCTTCTTTTCATCCTTGCAGCCCATAACGCATCCTGTGCTAAGTAAGGTCTTGAGCCCGTCAAGTTTATGCTTTTCTTGTTTCTTCATGGTCTCCATGTTAGTAAATTGGTCTCTGTTGAAAACTATGATTTTTGTGGGAGGGGGACTAGGATTTATCTTACGGAATTTCTCAGAGTTTTTGTGGTACCCACCATACAGTTTCAATCACTTACTTTTATCACCTGAGACATTTTTCCGTTGTAGAAGTATATTTCCCGGTTCTTCGGCCCGGATTCATTCCGAAAATTTACAAGCTTAGTTAATTCACGCCGTGATATTCTTGCTCTGGTAACATTTTGTAAAAATTAGGGTTCCAAGTAGACACCCAGGTTTGTATAGGCATAGAAAGAAAGAGTGGTTGGCTCAAAAAGAACCTGAGATTCTTTTGAAAATCCCAATTGTACCAGTTGTACCACAAGAATGCAGGTATCTGAGATGATGGTTTCTGAGTAACTTAGTTTTATTTTGAAATTATTCAGTTTTTAGATGGACCAATTTATAATTCTTTTGCCCAAGTAACCGGACAATAAAAATTGTTAGATATAGTGTGAGATTCAAGTTGAGCTGATGCTCATTTAGATATTGACTGTATCAGTGTGGGATTTCAGAGTAATGCTATTCAGACCTCAACACTCAGAAAACTGCAAAGAGGAACAAGAGCTATAGATGTAAATACTTTATAGTATTTGTAATACCGTTTTTACAACTGCAATACCGTATTTAAAACTGTGAATTGTGTCAGTATACCTGCCCGTTCTCTCTGCCCTAGCAATCAAGCCATTATTCACAGGTTAAGACAATATTTCCTTTGCTGATCTCACAAGGATGAATAAGCTTAAGCCTGAGGATTAGACAGCTCTAGTTTTTAATTTTATCTCTAACCTATTGTATGGCCTTGAGTGTGAGTGTGTCTTTCCTGAATGTCAGATTTCTCACCTCCAGGATGGATTTGATACTTAGTTCCATCAAATTATGGAAGGGCAAAGAAGTTACTCATGGAGGTCTAAAACTGTTAAGACCTCACGTTATTTATTAGTTAGGCACTTTAGGTATTTAGTGGTTTTCTTTAAAGTGGGGATTAGCCTGTAAAACCTTCACATGCCAGATGCCTCCAAAATTGTGAATCCTACCTTCAGCAAGTTTATGGCAGATTGAGGACAGTAGATCTTCAAGCAATATGTACAGAATGATAATGCAGTGATGAAATTTGCATAACTAAAGTACTGTATTGCAAAATCGTCAGGCTATCTAAAAATCATAACTTAAAAAAATAAATCAGTGTACCTATAATTCTGATATGAGTACCAAAATTTCCCAAATGAATTACCAGTGCATATCTCATTTGAGTGGGTATCTGAATGAACTCGCTGAAAACAATGTCAAGATTGGAGATCCAGAGGGGGGAGGACCTAGGATTTACCACAGGGCAGGGAAATCTGACTGCTCTTTGGGCTGGAGAGGGAGGGGGAGAGGAGTGGGGGGAGGGGGAGAAAGGTGGGAGGAGGGGGAGAAGTGTGGAAGGAGGGGGAGGGAAATGGGAGGCTGGGAGAAGGAGGAAATTTGTATAAGCCGGGCGGTGGTGGCGCACGCCTTTAATCCCAGCACTCGGGAGGCAGAGGCAGGCGGATCTCTGTGAGTTCGAGACCAGCCTGGTCTACAAGAGCTAGTTCCAGGACAGGCTCCAAAACCACAGAGAAACCCTGTCTCGAAAAACCAAAAAAAAATAAAATAAATAAATAAATAAATAAATAAAAAGAAAACCAAAGCAGGTCTCTGCCCACTGCTCTCCTGCCTAGCAGAAAAAAAAAAAAAAAAGATTGGAGATCCAGTTTCACTGAAGGTTAATTTGCCCTACTGTGACCATTTTAATATCCTGAGGTTCACAAATAGTGTTGATCTCAAGGGCAATAGGATGAGAGAACATAGATATATACCAAAGGTAATATTACCTATATAAATAATGTTATATAATCCTACACAGATATCCAACAGACTGTAGCAGAATTGCCTACTTAAGATTTTTTAAGATTTTATTTTTAATTGTAAAATGTGGGGGGAGGTGTGTGTGTGTGTGTGTGTATGGGAGAGAGAGAGAGCATCAAGTCCCCTGGAGAGCAACAGGCAATTGTGAGCTGCAAGATATGGGTTCTGGGATCTGATTTTGGGTCCCTTGCAAGCACAGCCAGTATTTATAGCTACTGAACCATCTCTCCAGTCCAGCCCCTAAAATTTTGTTTTAATAGAATACTTTTTTGTTGTTGTTGTTTTTGTTTTTGTTTTTCGAGACAGGGTTTCTCTGTATCTTTGTAGCCTGTCCTGGAACTAGTTCTTTTAGACCAGGCTGGCCTCGAACTCACAAAGATCTGCCTGCCTCTGCCTCCCAATAGAATACTTAATTGATATAAAAATTATCATTACTATGGAAGATGAGGCTGGAAGAGATGACAATAGCTGAGAACCAAATATTAGAGAAAAAAAACCAAAATTTTTTTAATCTCTCTAAATGTATTATGAATGAATGTGAAAACATTTATTCTGGGAATAAATAATACTTGTAGAAACCCAATAAGATATAAAAGAGAATATAGTCAAAGTCCCTCTGCTTTTAGCCACCTACTTCCTTTAGCCGAAAACAGCAGGTACTTGATTCTTATAATACCTTGGCAGTACTAGATTGACTTTTCTCATAGCAAGACAGATAAATTTTTAATATAATTTTATTCTTTGAGAATTTCACACATTATACTTTGATCTCATATTCACCACCACCTCAGTGTTCCCCCAACTCCCCCCAAATCCACCCCTACCTCCCCACCCTCTTTCAACTTGGTGTCTTTGACCCACCTTAATAACCTACCATTGCCTAATGAGTTACCCATATACTTATGAGTATAGGACCATCCGCTGGAACATGGTTGCCACACACAGATCCAGAAGATCTGAAACCCTCTTCTGGCTTCTGGGGGTACCTCCACACATGTGGTGCACATGGCCGGCTTCTGGGGGTATCTCCACACATATGGTACACATGGCCGGCTTCTGGGGGTACCTCCACACACATACCTGCACTCAGTCACAGACATATGAGTAAATCTTAAGAAGAAGCAGAGGGGGCTGGAGAGATGGCTCAGAGGTTAAGAGAACTGACTGCTGTTCCAGAGGTCCTGAGTTCAATTCCCAGCAACCACGTGGTGGCTCACACCCATCTGTAATGAGATCTGGTGCCCAAAACGCTGTATACATAATAAATAAATTTAAAAAAAAAAGAAGAAGCAGAGGAGGAGAAGAAAGAAGCAGCAGCAGCTGTGTAAAGGAGCATGTTTAATTAAATAGTAATGTGCTTTATGTATGCACATATAATTATATTTTAGAAATACTGGAGCTTTTTCAATTTCAGATTTATTTATTTGGTGTTTTGTTTTGTCATGTCAGGCTCTTGCATAGCTTAGCTGACCTTGAACTCCTGCTATTCCTGCATCCACCTCCCAAGTGCTAGCATTTCAAACACGTGCCACCGTGTCTAGTATATGCTCAGCTTTTCGTGATATATTTTTGGGCAGTTTCTAGCCTTAAATACATAGCTATTGGTGCCTCTCCTTCCTTTTTTACCTTCAATTTTGCCACTTTTTCATCTTTCATTTTTAGAAAAGTTCTCAGTGATCCTTATTTTTGTTAATCTCTTTGAATGTTGCTTTCGTGTACTTTAATGACAACTGTGTAAAGATGTGTCCTGATTTACAAGTGAGAAAACCAAGGTAGAGTTATACTTTCTGGAGCTTTGCAGTGTTGGAGATTGAACATGGAATCTGATGCATGCTAGTCCAGTTCTCTACCCGGGATCTGTAGCTCCTTTCTGTTCTGAAGCTTATTGAATGTTCCATATGTTAATCAATACACACCGTTTTATAATTGGAAATTACAAATTAGGAGGAAAATACATCAATTTATTCCATAAAGTGTTTTAATAAGATATCTTAAATATTCTGGTTTCTAAGATTCTGTTCTTCCTTCCACTTCGGGGAGGCCAGGTTTTGTGTGGTGGTCAGGGGCTGAGGGCCAGAGTCCTCATTCTTGGCCCCTTCTTCAAGGAATTGAAATAGAAGCTCCCATATATTTGCAAAAGTAGCAAGGAAACTTTATTTAAACAAAGCAATGTAAAAGATCATAATGCATTGTTAGGAAGTAGTGGGCTTCATGAACCAAGGTACTCAAGAGCCCCAGTTATCATTTGGGGCTTTTTTCTATGGGTTCAAGAGAAAAGGGGATTTTTGTTAAAAGGGAGCATGATGAGGATGGTTTCCTATTTTGATTGATGGATTAGGTCATATAATCATTTTTCTACGGTACATGTTTCTTCCCATAATGCATCTAACTTTAATCATATGCACATCCAGTTATGCACAGGCATAATTCGATAGTAAATAGGAGGTTCTCTAAAAATTAACACAGCTTTTTCTTTACTGCACATGTACCTAACGTCAGTTCACACTGGATCAGGACCAGGAAGTATAGCTAACTGAAAAAGGTTGTAAGCGTAGCTTGATGCTGGTGGGGGCCCCTAGCAGGTTGTAGGTGCATTGTTCAGAGAAAGGTATGTTCATAGCTCTGACGATAAGGGGACCTAAACTACCAAGCACAT